AGTACAATGGCATTTTGAAAGTTAGTGTCTTGAAACCTTTGTAATTTAAGGGTTGTACAATTTAGAATATCCCTACACACACACACATATATATATATATTGTTAGTAAAATTTGATGAAGCGTGTATAAGATCAAACCCTAGATCAGAGAAAGGGTGCGGTAAGACTGGTGATCGCAGAGCTCAGATTTTAATCCCTTCTCTCTTAGAGAGATGTATGCCTTTTTTATTGTTATACACATCCTCTCTCTGCCTTCCCATTTTATATGGAGAAGAAATGGATAACTGTTGTATTTCTCCAATGGGTCTTCGATAAACGAAAGGGTTCCCTAATCTCCAACTGGTTTCTGAAGGGTTACGTTCATCTCCAACGGGTCTTTGATAAACGAAAGGGTTCCCTGATCTCCAACGGGTTTCTGAAGGGTTACGTTCATATGGATATGACCGTTGGATGAAGGGTTACATTTATATGGATATGATTTTTTTACATATGGAATTCCTACAAATGTAGGCTAAGACACGTAAGGCCTCATAGCCATGCATGTCAACATCTCCCACTTGGCCAAGCAAAATAAGTCACATACATATTCCCACTTTTGAGTATGACCTTTAAGAAATATCTTGTCATGAGATTTTTTCCCACTTTTGAATATGACCTTTAAGAAATATTTTGTCATGAGGTTTTTCTCATGCTTTTGTAAATTTACCTCTCATAACAAACGTCTATCATGAGGATTTTCATACTAATGCGGATTTCTCACTCATGAAAACTGCATGACTTAAACATTTTTTAAATCCCCTTAAGTGCGTCTACCATTAGGATTTTCACGCTAATGCGAATTTCTCACTCATGAAAATTGTCCGACTTTAACTTTTTTAAGTCCCATTAAGCTAATGTGCTTAGACAGCAGTAACAATTACTTCACATTTCTCAACTGCATCCTGAATGTAGAGATATTGGATATCTATATGTTTTCATTTGAAGCTATTTGCCCTACTTTGTATTAATTTAATTGTACCTTATTTATCACAAAATATTTGGATCGGCCCGTCGATTATTTGCAGCTTCAAGTTATCTATGAAGCGCTTTATCTAGACGGCAAAAATAGAAGCAGTACTATATATAATGAGAGTATTGTGAATTTACTCCCACTCTTCAAGACATACACACAACGATCCAATCTATTTATTTCATAGCCCATCATCTGGGTAATAATAATAGCAATTGAGATCCATTACCCAGATGATAGGATATGGAGTTTTCTTTATCAAATTCTTCTAAAGCATGCTGCAACCTTCGACATGAAGCGACATTCAATGTGCCTAGTTTTGGGATGTCCCTCTGCAGAGGGTTTGCACCTTTTACTGACTAGCAATCTTGCATTAGACTGTCATGGATCACCTTCACCATTGGGGATACTTCCCAAACATTTGCCTTTATTGCAAGGACTACAAGTAGGGTGTCAGCCATTCACTAAGGCAGAGTATGAGACTTCTTTGAATCATTTAACATTGGTTTTGGTTTGGTTATTCCAGTCTGGACCGCAATCCACATAGGCTCAATCACATCAGCTGTATGATGGCATGCAGTCTCAATTCAAGTAAATCCTAGCCCCTAGTAGTGCCTTTCAGATCTTTTGAGAACTGTCCCCTTTGAAAGACTAAAAAAGAAAAAAAAATCACTGATGAGATTCTCGACATTAGAAGTAGGTACAACATTGTTTTTAATAATGTCAGTAAAGGCACCAATGTAAGGCCTTCAACCGAGCCACAATGAAAAAATCACTCTTTAAAAGAAGAATGATATTTACTTATCGCTTCTTTAACTTCTATTGGAGCCAGATAACATGTATATCTCTGCATACATATGCATGCGCATGTTGTAGAGAGAGAATCAAGCGCGCGAACCCAACAATAAACCACCACTCGCGAATGCTTTCTCTCTCCTTCCTTTTAGAGAGAAACCTTTTTTTTATTGCGTGAGAAAGTCAAATCTCAAACCTCTTCTTGGCTTTTTTTATTTTTTTTTATTTTTTTATTGAGTGAGAAAAATTAAATCTCCCCTTATTCCGGGAAACTATTATTGGTGGTTACTCTGGTTCGAGTTCCGGCAACTACTGTCTCTTGCTCTCGTTGTAGAGAGATAGATTCGTCTGTTAGAGTTTTTCTCTTGGTCCATTTGGGACCATGGTGCAATTTCCTGTTTCAGGGAACCGTTTTCATGGGCCTATTCTGGAACACAGGAAAACCAGAGACAAGAATTAACTTCACTCGTTTATTTAGCCACATTTTGTATTCATGCTCAGAGAGGCAAAAAAAAAAAACTCCACTCCCTCTCTACATCGA